AATAAAGCTTGGTGACCCTAAAAAGGGCCGTGTTGTTGCCAAAGTTGGTGATGATTTAACCTCAGAAACCGTACAGAGTGCGTCTCTGTCGCTTCAAAGCGTACATCCATGGCCGCTTACGCTTGGCGTGTTCAGTGTAGGTGACAGCATCACGGATCTCATTTTCCAGGAACACCTTCAGCACACCTCGTAAATCAGACCGTAGATACGTTGACACCGCCACGGCGAGCCAGACGACGGAAGAACCTTGCGATGACGCTTGGCGCCTCCTTTACCAAGAACTTTTCCTCCTTTGCCTCGACCAGTCATTGTTGCTTGTTAAGTAGAAGCGTGGACTACCTAACCTGCCACCACCTTCCTACTGCTGCTATTACTACTTCAGCTGCCTGCTCACCACGTCGTTCAAAGCGAAAATGAGTTGAGGCTTTTTTCGTTTTTTTTTTACTTTAAATGATCTTTGTTTCTTGTATTTGTGTGGTTTACATGTATTACTTATCAAGTGACACAGATGCGTCTTTTCAACTTTAGTTCTTTTGAAATTTCAATTATTATTAATTACAGTTCCTAGTCCTATCAGGCCTGTTTTAAGAATGACCACCTTGGTGGGATTGAATTGTTTTAAATTAGAAAAAGGAGACTACTTATAACTACTATTTACAACTTCAATTAACCTACAACTACTATATACACCTAATCTACTATATACAAATTGCTTTTAAAAACATGTTCTGATATATTACATTTTTGTTCAAATTAAGTCTTAATTTCGTTAATTCTGGAATCTATTTTGGCAATGCCTGCCTTTTCGTGTAAATTTTTTATTCTAGTGTCGAAAGCACGACCAAGAACCATCCTCAGCACTCTATTCTGAGCGACCTGAATTGTGTTCCTGTGAGTCTGTGCACATGATTCCCACACCGGAGCTGCGTATTGAGTTGAGGCTAGACAGCAGCGCTGTTTGATGTCTTTTCAGGTTAAAGAAGAATGATGTGCACCAAGTGGTACTCGATTATGACGACTGGGTTTGGGAAGAACGATTATTTCATGAAAGCAGCGATAAAATTATCTCTTTTTATTTGTACACTGACATTACCACTTTTTCAATAGTTTCTTGTCATTGCCATAGATGCGTAGATATATTTCTGATCGATTGGTAATAAAATTATTGAAATTGGTTCATGGGCAACTGAGTTATTAATGTTCAAAATCTTTCATAATTTTGTTTCATGTTCCATTTTAGGTTTTCACAAAGTGTACCCCCAGTATAGAAATTAAAGACGTAGTCCTACGTCAAAAGTTATGGTAAAAAACGGTTTTTAAGGGGGTACTACCATAGAGATAACTCTAAGACAAGTAGGTCCCGAAGAAACGTGCTCAACTTTTTGGCTCACCTCTGGTACTATCTTCGGTCCCAAGCTTGTCGAATCACCCCTAGAAACATAGGAAAAACCAATAACCCCTCATTTTATCTGTCAAACTTTCATAGCGAATCAAAACAAACATTGCGTAGTACTAGAATTTCGACTAGAATAGGGTACGTTAATCGTTTGCTTGGGACCAATAGACTACTAAAGTGGTGAGCCAATTTAAAATCGTTAGTTTCGTATTGATTGTTGGTACTACCATAGAGGTAACTCTAAGACTAGTAGGTCCCCAAGAAACGTGCTCAACTTTTTGGCTCAGCTCTGGTACTATCTTCGGTCCCAAGCTAATCGATGCACCCCTCGAAACATAGGAAAATCCACTAACCCCTCGAAACATAGGAAAATCGACGAACCCCTCATTTTATCTGTCAAACTTTCATAGCAAATCAAAACAAACATTGTGTAGTACTAGAATTTCGACTAGAATGGGGTAAATTAATCGATTTGCTTGGGACCAATAGGCCAACCTCGTCCACTTGAGAGATAGAAAATTGTTGTCTTCGACAAAGTTTATTCAAATGACTTTATCTACAATGTTTTTATCGATTTTAACAAGACTTAAAAAAGTTATTTTTTTTTATCTTAGTGTATATCCCAAGGGGTGGTCACTTTACACACTTATTTTGCGTCAACATTTTTCTCAGTGTGCCTTAAGTGTGCCGCGCTGTACCAAGAGTGAATAATTGTATGTTTGGCAACCCGGTATTTTGACAATTCAAATGTTTTTTTTTTGTATATTAAACCGTACGAGCTGTCGAAGACAATAGCCACGTCAACGCCAGATCAACAGAATGGGCTACTGCGCAGCACTCTGATCGGCTCAGTTCCGTCTCCCGTATGTCGCAGTGCGATGAAGATTTAATCCACGGAGAGTACAGCAAACATTACACGCTGGTGAGGAACATTGGGAATGCACTCATTGAACATTCTGCACCGGAACATCAAAGATGAGGACGTTATCATCGATCACCATTTCCATATCAAGCTGATTGACTTCGGATGTACGAACGACAGGAAGGGCAACTTTTTTTTACCTTTCTACGGCACGACCGAATACTGCAGTCTGGAAGTGTTGGTAGGCAAGCGCTACTCTTGAATTGAAAATGTGGGCTCTCTGTGTGACACTGTACGTGTTGTTGTTCTTCGCGAACCCATTCGTGGACGTTGAGGGAATCCGTTGACAAGAATCCCATAACCCGGATCACCATCCAGGAGCTACTGGCGGCGGAATGGATGACGCAGGAAATCAATTCGTCACAGTTCAATTTTCCCACAATTGTCCCCTGCTAACCGTACGAAATCAATCCGTAGAAGTGCTACGTAGATGCAAATATCTGCTCCAACCAGACGGGACTGTCCATTTCACCGCACAGCCTTTCGATATTGGATGATGTCTTTGGTGAAGATGAGGATGAGCATGTCCTATGTCGAATAAGTCAGAAAATTTATTAAAAAAATGATTTACTGCTATTTAATTAATATGTTTTTGGATTCATTTTTAATATTCAAAGTGTTTTTATATTACTTTATACGCGAAGTTAGCGATTTTCAGAGTTGGTTGAAAATGCTAACATGGAGCTTTAGTATTTATTAGCTAGAGAATGATCTTTAGAAGAGAGTAGGTGGATAGTTCCGTTAGAGTACGGCAGTATGAAAATTGAATAGAAGTTGAAAATGAGCGAAGGGCCATTAATGCGACAGCACATTTTTTGGCTGTAGACTTGAAGACATACTTCAAGTCTCCTCGTACATCGTACGGGTTAGGCAAAAGATGTGCGTCTAACTTTAAAAAACTGTCGCATTAATGGCCTTCTATGTATTAATAGCGTATCTATGTCTGGAGCTCTACAACAGGCAATGTTAGTGAATTTTTTGCTTCAAAATCCTTGAAACTTCTGGAAGTCAATACAGAAGTTCATAAACTTCCCAATTCCGTGGCAGTTTCTGTACTCCTGCATTGGCTTTCAAAGATGTATATTAATCCACCCGGTCATCGTCGTGATGTCGGCATCTTCCGTTACTCCGGTTGCGGATCATAGCATTAAGGGTGAGTTGGAGGATCCGGCGAAATTATTTGTTTTGAATACCAAAAATTGTTTGTGTCAACAATCAAATTTTGACACATCCTCACTGCGCATTAGACTGATGCAAAATTTGACTTTTTCGCTCCACAATACTTAAACGATTCCAAATCGGATACTGACTAACCCTCAAAATTTGAACCCCTTTGGTGAGAAACTGAGATGGCACAAACCATTTGAAGTTTGTATGGGAATTACTATGGTAAAATCAAGATTTTTGTTCATGTCTATCTTATAATTCACCATATTAGTCTGCTTCCGAAGCTTTCAACTGTACTTGTAGCTACAACTTTGCCGAAGACCACTTTTTGATTTAATGCAAGGATCGAAAGTTATCAATGGCTCAATGCGCTGATGTCTAATGATCATGCTCAATCAACTGCTCAGCAGGCAACATTGGTGTTTCTGGGGCGTTGAATAGGACACAAAAATCATGGCTACTATGTCACACTGCAAAATACAGTGTTGCCTACAGAGCAGCTGCTTGATCATGTCATAAGTTTACCAATCTCTTAAATAATTAATAACTTTGTCCCATCTCGTTTTGCATAGAAACGATCATCAGCAAAGTTGTAGCTGAGAAAATTTTCTTTAATAATGGCTATCGAACTGTTTCGCAGCTGAATATGGAAAAAGACTAGAAGGCAATGAACAAAAAGTTGAGATTTCCCATAGTAATTTACATGTAAACTTCAAATGGCTTGTGCGAAGTCTGTTTCTAACCAAATGAGTTGTAACTTTGGGAGGCTAATCAGGACCCGATTTGAAACCATTTAAGCACTGTGGAGCGAAAAAGTCAAATTTTGCATCAGTCTACTGCGCATGCGCAGAAATAATGCAGTGATGTCAGTTACTTTAGAGATCACAAAAAAATATGTACCATGAGTGCCAAATGAGTGAGCCATGGTGTGCCCTACTGTGTTTTTGGCACACTATGCTGAGTGACCTACCCCTTGGTATACCCCACGTAAGCAAAAAATTCACCACTCAAATAAAGAACTCAAAAATTAAAGAAACATTCTAGAACACTTCAAAAGGCTACACTCAATAGTTTCGTCACAAATGGCTATGTCTCATTTTTTTTTTATTCCGTCCCCCTATGGGGCTGAAAGTTTGTTAAATTTAAGACATTTAAGGTGCAATTTACTTTGAAGCATTTTCGATAAATTGAAAAGCAGTTTTTTCCGGCACATCATTTCAGATTGCGAAAATCTCGCGTCATTATATTCCTTTAATTATTTTACACAAAATGCTCAATGTAAATTGCACCAACTCAGTTAAAGAAATTACCAATCGGTGATCCCTCATGTATTCTGATTCAACTCCATGTCAACGCAATATAAAATTCAAATCACAACATTTCTTAAATTGGCTGTCTTCTATTGCTGAAGGCGTTTCTTGGATTTACCTATTATTTTAACAATTTAAAGAAGAAGATTACCTGTTTTCAAACGTCGTTAATCCTACAGCCTCCTTGTTCTCTCACCCCGTCCAGGCGTTACGTGACCGACAGCGGCAAGTCCATCGAGGCGACAAAACTGCAATCCCAGAACAAGCAGCTGGAACACACAGCCAGCGCGTACCGCCAGCGGTTGAAAGACCTGTCGGAGCTCGTTCCCAAGCCGGACTTGGACAAGCTCCTGCTGAGGCTCGGACTGCGGGACATCTGCGAGGTGCCCGCAATTGAGAATGGCATCGACAGCCACATGGCCACCGTCAATGGCAGTAAGACGCCTGACTTGGGTAATGTATCTGGTGAAATTCTCTCAACGGCCATAGGAAGCTACAACGAGCGGGTATTTTCCGATTTCGCAGGCATTGATGTATCGTTACCAAACAACGACGATCAGCTGCTGATCGAAACATCGCCGAAGCACTTTGCTCCGATCGTCCCGCCAAGAAACATTCAGAATCAGGTTGGTTGCCGCCGACACAGTTAAACTGAAGTCGTCTACTAACACACTATATTGTTCCTTGTTGCAGATCAACAGCACACTGGAAGCCTTCAAACCCTCGGCGGGCAACAAGATGGAAGGCCTGCTGTTGAATTCCGACTCGGACAGTGATTTCGATCCACGTGCACCGGATAACGATAGTCCATCGATCGGAGGCAACAAGATCAGCAACGATCTGTTTGGATTCGAACCACCAAAGCAGAGCTTAGGTCAACAACTGTTCACCACCAACAACAACAACAACAACAACCATACTGGTTTCACGAACGGCAATAACGGAACTACCAATGGGTTCGGCGCACCCATTAGCCCTCCTCCGATTTGTAAGCATTGAACTCCGCACAGTTGTGATTCGAAGGTTAATTTTGCTTTCTTGTATCTTGCAGTGGCTCCTCCTCCACAGAAATCTGCACCACGAAGGACAACTCCAGCACATCCGAACAATGGCAACGGATATCAGGACTTGTTCGGCTCGGCACCGTTCAACCCACAGGCGCAAGAGGTGAGTCTTTAACGATTTATATTCCCTTACTTTCTCAACTGAAAACTAGAATCAAGCATTTCATGGGTTTAGAGAGTAGTGATAACAAATCTAGTCCAAAATACTAGCAAGTAGTCTTGTTGCTTAACACAATTTCGAACCTCCACCATGACAGGACACACCATTCGACAGCTCATTCGAAGAGGCGGCATTTTCGGTGAATTGTAACTCGACCGCTCTGTCGGCCAGTTCCTTTTCCGAAGAGATGCGAATCCTGGCCGACAACTCGTCCAAACTGGACAGCGTACTAGCGTTGAACAATGGTCCCCGGCATGCTTCCTCGACGCTTCCCGTCGTGAATCCTATTCCCGGTCCGACGCAACCCACGACCACCACCACCACCACCACCACAATTGGTGCCAAACTGAATCCATTCACATCGTTGGCCGCTCCGGCCAAAAGTGTCCTCCGGGGAAATCCACTGACCACGGTCATGAACGGTCACGCCTCGTACGATGTGTTCCAGAACGCGTCCGACGGTAGTATCTCACCCGCATTCGCACCTCATTCATCCGTTGGTACCGTTGCCACCCAACAACCGGAATCGGAAGCCCTCTTCCAAGATTTTGCTTTATCGGCTTTTAATGAATTTAAAAAAGATGTAAGCAATTCCACCGCGCACCGACGCAGTGCATTTGGCGTGGCCAGCAAGACAACGGCGGCGGAATTCGGCACGGGTGGCAAGGGTGCTCCCATTAATACCGGCACTGTGGGCAGTCACAATCTGAACGGTGCACGTGTGATCATGGCCAACGGGACACAGTTCCACGAGAAGGTACTTTTTTTTTCATTCGAAAGTCTGATTAGTTTTTTTTTTCCTGTTGGTGTGTCCTGGGATATCTATCGGAACTTTCGTCGAACTGTGTGCCGTCATTCTCAGCTTGTACATGGCTCCGTACATAAATAACGTAACGGTAAATTTGAGGAAAATCATCCGCGTTATGCAATTTATGGGACGAAGCCTGCTTGTTTAGACGTTAGCGTGTCTGTGTATGTGTCTTGTTGTATTGTCCGTTTGTGATGTCCTTGTTTTATTTCCAGCATGCTTGCTTGGATTCATACTAAATTATGTATAGCTAAAGAACATAGCGCGAGCATGTCTCACGTCTTGGACAAATATAAAATCCGATAGAAAACAAACGAGATTATGTCAGGCGTAACATGTGATTACGGCACAAAAGCATTTGTAAACAAACTTTCTAAGGCCCTTTACACGCGAACCGAAGTACGCTCACGCAAACCAACAACATCGTCGGATAGGGGCAACTCTCACCTTTCCGAAAGTGGTACTGGTTTTCGTGGGCGTACTTTGGTTCACGTGTAAAGGGCCTTAGAAAGGTTGTTTACAAATGTTTTTGTGCCGTAATCACATGTTACGCCTGAAATCAGGTTCTTCACCGGCGCTTAAATTTTAGGCCAGATTCAGGCCAGGTGAATTAATTGATTTGATCGTTTTCTTATTGCAGATAAATTCACGAACACTAATGGAGTTTTAAAAAAGCATTGAAAAAAAAATTTAACCCTGGGAGCGCCTTCTGGCTACGTATCTGCTCCATCACCGCTGATATTTTGGATTTCGCCATATTTTAGCATGTCGAGTCTGAAAATAAACATAGATTTTAAAACTAGTAAGGGAAGGTAAGGGAAAATGTTCTACGCATATGATCAAATCTCAAAGATTACTGAGTTATTGAACCTTTTCTGTTTTGGTCTATGCTAGCCATAAATTGGTCCTCACTCAAAAACTATGTCGTTTAGCACAAAACTCTTGCCTCTATTGGACAGCTTGGTACATTCCTACGTAATAGTGTCATTTCTACTTCAAGTAAGCAGCATTTAGACACATTTTAGGGATAAACGAGTCTACTCCTACGGGTTTTCCCCTTATTATTTTAAAAAATACGTTATAAAGTGTATTGTTTTGTCTAACCAAAAGATGTCTCTAAATACGCTCTACAACTCTCTCTTTGACACCAATTTACTATCTTGTTTAGTTTTGTCACAATTTCGTACTAAACACATCATGTTGGGTCTTTAAATAACGGTTGCGTAAAACACGAATTCAACCCCACCGTGCGTTGCTGTTGACGTCTGTCTGCAGCGCGCATAGCACACTTGACTTTGTTAATAATCAGAACTCTTTATTTTATCTTCATACAGTTCTTGTCACTTTAAAAGACTACCTTTTACTCACCACGCCAAGCGCAGTAACAGCTAACGGCGTATAACGATGCCCACCAAGGTTGTCACTCAGGGTGGTAGCTCTCCCCCTTTAATTCAAGCTGATGATGTAATCTTCCAAGTGTTTCGGAAGCCGACGCTCTCTAACTGATCTGGGAGACTTCGATGTTGATGGCTCAACTGTTGGTGGATTGGAGTTCGTTGAACGAGTCTCGAAGAATACGTCGTCGTCTGAACTGTCATCCTGATGCTGACTAATTTTAACCTGTTCCTGTTCAATCGTATTCTGTTGTGCAGCGGTCTGCTGTGCTGAAGAACGCCGCATGAGTTCGAAGTCATCCACCAGGATGTCCAATTGAGATGGTATTGATACCGGCTTAAGTATATGATCACATCTAGGTCGAAGCTGGTTCACGTGGGACCGAATAAGCTTCCTCCGACCTGACTGGTAATCGAGCAGAACGTTGAAATTGACTCCTCCAATTGCTTCAAGGACAATGTGGGAAGTCCATTTCCATTTGTTCGTATTCGTAGACTGTGGAACCCGATGTAAACTTTGGACTCTATTCATCAGACTTACTATTGAACGCTGATGGCCGAACGAGATCCAATGTTGTATGCATCGGTCTACCCAGCATTTCCTCTGAAGGTGACTTACCAGCAAGAGTTGTTCTTGGCGTAAAACGGTACACTTGTAGAAAAGTTTGAAGCGCTTCGACTGATGGAACTTCTTCCCCCTCAACAATTTTGTGCAACGAGCGTTTTAGGGTGTCGACAAAGCGTTCTGCCTGGCCATTCGCCTGAGGGTGATATGGCGCTGTACGAATGTGGATGATTCCGAGCTGCTGACACATCTTCTTGAATTCAGCACTACAGAACTGCGTTCCGTTGTCTGTGACAATGTTCTCCGGAATATCGAATCTGACAAAAGTTTCCTGAAGAAATCAGATCGTGACAGCTGCTGTCGTCAAGCGTGTTTGCAAAATTTCTGGCCATTTCGAATATGAGTCCACTATGACTAAGTAGTTCATTCCGTCAAGTGGCCCTGCGTAGTTTAGATGGATTCTCTTCCATGGACCGTCTGCTCTTGGCCACGGTTGAGGTTGATAATGTACCGGAGATTTTGCTGTACTGGCACAAATGCAACACCGACGAATCAGATCCTCAATATCATTATCGACGTTCGCCCAGTACACTACACTGCGAGCGATGGCTTTCATCCTTTCCATGCCTTGGTGACCACGATGAAACTGCTTAGAATGTGTTCCCGAGCAAAGCTGAAGATCAAATTGAAATCAAAATTTGCTTTGTAACTTATTTTGAATACCGTGATGGTACCATATTCTGCGCACTTAAGACATTTTCTACAAAAAAAGAGTTTCTAGAAAAATTCAGCATTGTTTTGAAATATTTTGATTTAGTATTTGTATAGCTCTAGCATGTAGGTATACATAAAAAATATAAATGTTGATCTAATGAAAAACGGTAACATGAAACAAAGTATTTTTTGAGTATGTGATGATGTTCCTAATTCTGCGCTTCATTTTTCAAATGTTCCATATTCTGCGCACTGTGTTTCTAATTTTGCGCACAAAAAAAACAGCATGTAAAATCATGGTATTTATTCTTGTATGAGTATTAAGCATTTATGTACAAAAAAATTAATCAACTTTTCTTGGAAATCTTTCATAAAGCAAACTTTATCATAATTTAAACTTTATCACTTTTTTCACAACTGTCTATTCAATTTCTGCCAAATTAGTACCAGCTCCTTCAGCCTTTTCCTTAAAGCTTTCGCTTGCGTTTTCCAGTAAGTGTTTCCAGCTTTTTCTTCGCTGCCAAACTTTTTTCTTCTCGAATGGCCTTCCTTTGTTCTTTTCTTGCTCTTGCGTATGCTTTTCTAATTCCATCGTTTCAAAATAAGCCTTGAATGCCTCACTCGTAGCCACATATGGAGGTCGTGGTTTATACTTCTTTAATTTACGAGTTTTACGCGCCGCAGAAGAGGGTACTTGAAAAGCTTTGTCGAAAAAGTCATCGTCGATGCCATGTTCTGGTTCTGCAATGTGCGTGGTTCCAATATTCACGTTTGAAGAATCTGTCACTGATTGATGCTGACTTCCACCTGCTTCTTGCATACAATCCGGACGACCGGTACCTGGGTCAATAGCGCTTCTGATAATGGGTTCCCCAACGATAGAATGGCAATCATCTGAAAATATCAATTATGGGAAATAAATATACTAAATTGGTACGTTCTCATAAACAATATTACCGATGCAATCACCAGAAGCACGAAAATTTTCCATCGCCAAAGGGTTTCCTTGGCTGATATCACCTGTTTCCAACGGAGAAGGATCTTTTTCGACAGTGCTTTGAAGTTGGTACTTAACAAGAAGCTTTCGTCGATCGGCTGAAAATATTGTTGCATGCATGATTAGGAAAACTGTAAATGTCATAGTAAGATACTACCGTCTAGATCAAATTCCTCGAATCCACGGAAGCAATCGTCTTCTGACGAAAAAGTCGTTGTAACTTTCAACAATTTCTCAGATTCTACATCTTGTTTTACACGTTGCCACACGTAAAACAAATTAGCGTCTCCAACCTGTCCTGGCCATTGTACCTTTTTTTGATTTTGTTCAAAATTCTTCAGTTGTCGCAATGTGAGATGTGATTCTAATCCGTCCAAGATAACAGTCGCATTGGAAAATGGGCTAGCATCTGATACGGAAGAGCTTGTGGTTTGAACCGTAATGCTGTGCTGGATTTCCGTATTTAGAAGCATCTCGTAGTTGACAGCGTCTGGATCCCACGGCAATAATCCACATTTGCGAAATCCGTTTTTGATATTTTTTGCCATATTTGGAATATTATCAACAGCCCGTTTTAGCAACGGCGTAAACTCGTGCCTTTTTATGGGTTCACCAGCATGGAAAGTGCGCCACTCAATAAGATGCTTATTCCACTGCACTTTCAACCCTCTGAAAAACGACACATCTAATGGCTGCAGTACATGGGTGGAATTCGGGAAGAGACAAATCAGTACAATCTTTTTAGCTCGACAAAACTCTGTTGTTTGAAAGGACACATGGGACTTGTGCCCGTCGACGAAAAGCACAATCGGTAGAGGAATATCGCTTTTGATAATCCACGGATAGAACACGTTCTTCAGATAGTAATAGAAGGTTTCCTGGTTCATCCACCCCGATACACTTTTTCCGATAGCCCAACCATCTGGCGCACTGTTCGCTATTTCCGCAGGAAGCCGCTGCTTGTATGGAAATAAAACTAATGGTGGCGCCAGCGATCCGGCTGCATTTGCCGAAAATAATACGGTGTAGCATTCTTTCTCCGAGTTTGCGTTAGCCGTGTGAACGTATTTCTGTCTGACTTTCGCTAGAACTTTCTCTTTCGTGGGAACCAATCGCATAGACGATTGATCCATGTTGAAAACGCGTTGTGGGTTTTGCCAAACATCACGTAACTCTTCCTGATGGATGAATTGCTGAATTTCACGAAACCAATTCCGAATTTGGTTCTCTGTAACACACGTCCGTTGTTTAGACAAAGCGCTTGGAATTCTACGAGCAA